AAATGGTGGCTTATAAAGGTAAAGGGGTAACCGAGTGTTAGGATGAGGTGTTTAGTTTTAAATGGGCAGGTTAATTAGGTGAGCCAAAGGGGGCTTTTAATAGCTAGACTTTGGTAGTCAGCCTCAGGTGGAGGAAGAGAACAAATAAGGGAATAGAACTTGGTGGCTAGCTTTAGGAATGTCGTAGCAGTTTCTAGCAAAGCAGAGGGAATGGGGGAGAAGGGAAAGGTCTGCCAGAGCCACATGCTCAAGGGATTAGTGTCCCTTCAGAGACTCTCCTTTCTGGCCAGGCTAGCTGGCTAGTGAAAGACATCAGGATCCACCTGTCTCTAGTTACCATGTGTCTAACCTTCCAGGTGACAGGCACCTGCAGCCATGCCTGGTGTTTTACATGGGTGCTGGGAATCCCACCTCAGGTCCTCATGCTTGAGGAGCAGGAGCTCTTACCCACTGAGCCAGCTTTCCAACCGAGACTACTGAGTCTTCGGTGCTCAGTGTGGGCTCTAGCACACGTCTGTGATTCCGAACAACTAACTCCCACTGCATACAAACAGCAGAGCTGCAGTCGGGAAGATGTCATTTATACACCAAGGACACATCCTAAAGCCAGGGGATGCCTGAAACCACGGATGCTACCCACCCTGCACACTGAGAGATCAGCAACACTGATGTTGAAAGAAGATAATTAGAAAAGTATATAGAGTCTAAGAGTATTTTAAGGGTATTTAGTTGAAGATAGAAGTTTCTTTCCTGCCTGGTCCCACTGCTGATTAACCCCAAATAAGCACACTGAGACATATTAATTACTAAACTGTTTGGATGGCTTAGGCTTCTTATTGGCTAGCTCTCTCTTAATTATGACCTCATTTCTATTAATCTAAGTATTCCCATATGGTCTTACCTTACCAGAGAAGGGTCTGAACCTGTTACTCCTTCCTCTGCTACCGGTTGTTTACTGGCGGCCTCTCTCTCGATCTCCTCTTCCCTGCATTCTCTTTGTCTGGTAGCCCTGCCTCTATGTCTTGCCTGGCTACTGGCCAATCAGCGTTTTATTCATCAACCAGTAAGAGAAACATATATACAGAAGAACATCCCCCATCATACAGTAGTCACTAGCAATGAATATGGCCTCTCAGAACATGTTATTTTCCCGTATTCACACAGCTTCCTGTGACGGTATGAGCAAGGCCCAAGTGATGAAACAACGTGGGGTAAGTGATCCAGGGACTAAGATGAAGAAAGAGGTCAGAGCAAGACTCCTTGAGCCATGATAATGTCTTTTGACCCTGGGGATCTAAAAGAGGACAAAATAAAAATGAATATTACAGAGGGGACACTTTACAATGACCAAAGATTATTAGTAAGTCCTTTATAAAGCTCCATTTCACGGGATGTTATATGTGGCATATGGCGCTTCAATAATTTGTTTGAAATCTTGCACCTTAAAGGGGAGTAGGGCAGGAGGATCTAATTAGTCTAACATCAGAGCCGGAGTTCGGGTGCATGGCCCTAGACAGCCAACCAGAGAATAAATACCACACAGGTTGCCACAGAGTTAAGGGCCAAGCACTTAACTCTCCTCTAGTGCTGTCCACTATATGGGACCAAAGGGCCAAAGGGCAATCTTCAGAACACCAGCCAGAAAGATTCTGCTTCAGGGAGGTGTTGACTGACTCTTACTTTAGGTAGGGCCAATGGCATTTCAGCCTCTGTTCCATCAATGAAGCAGGGAGTGATACTGTGTTTGCCTCCTCCCCTGCCTGTTACAAGTCCAGAGGTTGAGGGTCTTGCTAAGGACTCCAAGCTAACCAATGGTAGAACCGGGGTTGGTCCCACCCAACCTATCAGAGCCATTGCTCTCAACCACTTACATCTGATGAGCAAAAAGACATCTGAGTCATGTTTGTCCTCATTAATGCAGCAAGTCTTAAGAGTCTAGACATAGTGGTGTTGCCAGCCCCAAGATGGGACTTTGTGACCCTGGAGTAGGAATGAATTGATTTCTAGCCTCCATACAAATGCAGAGGTAGATTAACCTTACATCTCATCACATAGACACCACCTGTCCAGCACCATCTATGATGTACAGACTGATGTGTAACTTAACCTGCAAGTAAACCAAAACTCCCTATAAGTGTATCACAGCAGGCCAGGAATGGATGCACTCATGGGTAAGTATTGAAATGATCTCATAGAAACCAAGCATATGAGTTTACTGAGCACTGCGGACCACCAAAATGTAGAACACCCTCTCATGGACCCTGTATCCAGAAGAATGCCTAACACTGTGATGGTGACCAAACTCACCAAAAGTGCTTGCACTAATGGAACATGGATAGGATGGCTCCCAGCTATCTACAAGGCTTCAGTTAAGCCTACTCTGGTCTTCAGCATCTATCACAGCCTACTGGAGTTGTTATCAATTATCAAGATGTAGTCTTGGACCCACTTCCAGAATCATACAGTCATGAATATCTCAGCTAACCTGCAGTATCCCTCTTTATAACACCATCAGCTCTCTGCCCTATGCAGAAAATTCTGACTCTTCTTTAATCATTTCGTAGCCATTCTGTCTTACACACACACACACACACTTATGTGAAATGTGTGATTTTGTGTTCTGAGAATTAATAATAGTAACTTAGACTAGATAAAAGAACCTGTGGTTTCCTAATAGCAGCTGCCAAGGAAAATCAGGATTATTTGGTAAAACTACAGCCAACAAAACAGAAGTAGCTTGTGAACATTGTGGGTGGACACTGATGGGGGAAGTCCTGTACATTTGTTAATAAAGCACTGCTGGCCAATAGGAATCTAGATAGGTGGGACTAGGAGTCCAGGAGGATTCTGGGAAGGAGAAACACAGAGAGTTCGAGATGTAACGCCATGGGGTAGGAGCCTGGAACTATTCTCCGGTAAGAGACATACTTAGATTAACAATTATGGGGTAATTACTTAAGTCAGAGCTAGCCAGTAAGAAACAAGCAAAGGCCAAAAGCTTCATAATTAATATAGCCTCCTGTGTGTTTATTTGGGACTGATGCGGCTCTGGAACCAAGCTGGCGGGAAGGCTTCTCTCAAAGAAAAAGCTTCTCTTAACAGGACACAAATGTGTTCACTTAGTTTCTGACATAGCACACACAAATCCATCATGAAAAGTCCATCACTGAGGGCAAGGCACTGCAGCAGAAGCGTGGAAAAGTGCTGTGTGCTCCTGGCTTGTCTTCACGGCTTGCCTAATCAACTTGGGTTTTCATAGCACCAAGGACCACCAGCTCAGGGGTGGCACAGCCAACAGTGAGCTGGACCCTCCCACATCAATCAATCAAGGGGATGCAGATGCAGCACAGGCTTGCCTAGAGACCAATCTGGTGTGAGCATCTTCTCAGTTGAGGTTCCCTCTTTCAGAATGGCCCTCGCCTGTGTCAACTTGACATAAAGGAGATAGCACAGAGGCATAATGGTGCATAGGACATAAATAGCGCAGAGTTGGTTCAGCTCAGTCACTAGACAAGTGATCAAAGAGACAAGCAAAAATGACAATGTAGCTCTCAAAGAATGGGTGCAGAGTCAGTGTTCAGCCATTACAATGAATCACCTAAAATAGCACATTTTCAACAGAATGAAAGAGGACCATATGGGGCTGCTTAAGAGCACTTGCCACTCTTTAGAAGACCTGGGTTTGCTTAGAAGCATTCACATAGGGATGTTAGCTTCAGTTCGGGAGAATCTGACATCCTTTTCTGGGCTCTGCGGGCATCAAGCCTGCATGTGGTACATACTGGTCCACACAGGCAAAGCACTCATACCCATAAATTAATCTCTAAAAAATATTTTTAGTAAATAAACATTTGTTTGTTAAAAGAATGGCATGATCCACATTAAGGAATAAAAGCAGTCATGAAAGTATAGATAAAGATTTTAATTTTTTATTAAGATTTTTTAAAGTGCTGTGTGTGTGTGTTTCTGTGTCTGTTCTGCATGTTGGTATGCGCATGTGTGAGTATGGGCACCCATGAAATCAAGAAGAAGTTGACTGATCCTCTAGAGCTGGAGCTATAGGCAATTGTGTGCACCACTGGACTTGGACGCTGGAAACCAAACTTGGGTCCTCTGCAAGAGCACCCCATGCTCTTCACTGCTGAGCCGTCTCTACAGCCCTAGGTAACGATTTTAAATTAACTAGTACAAGTATGTTCCAATGGACAATGAAAATCTCATCTAAACTATTAAAGGAGATTATGACAACAATGTGTTACCAAACAGAGGGCATCAAGAAAAGATACAAATTAACACCTTCAACTGAAATTCTACCACGTCACATCTCGCTCCATCCAGCATTGGCCAATTCAAGAGAGCAATGGGATGGCGTGTTGATGACCAGGGCTAGGCACTTGCATGTTGGTAGATATCTGTGGTATTTTTACAACTTGCCCCAGATAATTGTCATTCACTTCATCAGTGGATTTCATATCCATCTAGGATCTCCCCTGAAAGGCATCATTTCCACAGTTATTTCCCTTCAAGCCCAGGCCTGGCAGCTAATACAGGGTCTTTGCAGACCCCTCTCCTCAGAAAGGACCACCTGATGTGTGTCTTTTCACAGCAGTCAAGACAATTAGGACAGTTCTTCAGCCAGAGGGTGGTGACTTTTAAGCTGAATTCCTGCCACACTATAGACTTCGGAAGACTCAGTTTTGTTCCCTGCATCTGACAGTGCCCAAGCCTCTGCCTCACATTCCCTGGGGGATGGGCCCATGATCCCAAGATTCCTGTTTCACAGTGTACACAGCTGTCATAGAATATTATTTTAACCAGGAAAAATGTGTTACATTTGTTTATGCTGCAGAATATTACTTTAACTGGGTAAAGGTGTGTTACTTTTGTTTATATTGCATGTGTTTAATTATGGAAATCTGTTTTACCTTGCCTGCCTAACGTACCTGACTGGTCTAATAAAAAGCTGAATGGCCAATAGGTAGGCAAGAGGAAGGATAGGC